TGTGGGCAAAGTTTTGAAGGATGCTTATCGAACTTAGAAATGATACTTAAATGATGCATAAAATTTAACCTCGTATTAGTTGGGGGAAATGCCATTTCATGGTCCGACAAGGAATCGTGCTTGGACACATAGTGTCTGTTAAGGGGATTGAAGTTGACAAAGATAAAATAGAAGTTATAGAAAATCTTCAACCTCTGAAAAACGTAAGAGAAATATGAAGTTTCTTAGGAAACGTCAGTTTCTACCGATGATTCATTAAAGATTTCTCTAAAATTACCAAACCACTAACTGGCCTATTAATGAAAGACGCTGAATTCAATTTTGATGACAAATGCTTAAAAGCATTTGAATAATTAAAAACAACTCTTATTACCACACCTATTATGCAACCACCTGATTGGAGATTACAGTTTGAAATCATGTGTGACGCTAGTGACTATGTCGTAGGCGCAGTTTTAGGATAAAGAAAGGATAAAAAGCTTCATGCAATTTATTATGCTAGTAGAACCCTAGATCATGCGCAGATGAACTACGCCACCACAGAAAAGGAACTTTTAGCTGCCGTGTTCGCTCTGGATAAATTTTGTTCTTACTTAGTAGAAGCAAAGATAATCATCTATACCGATCATGCTGCAATTAGATACCTATTAAGAAAAAAGGACGCCAAACCAAGATTACTCAGGTGGATCTTACTCCTACAAGAGTTTGATTTAAAAATCAAAGACAAAAAAGCACTGAAAATGTAGTAGTTGATCACTTATCTAGAATGGAAGGCATTAAACCTGAACAAGTGCATATCAATGATGATTTCCCTTACGAATAACTCATAACCCATTTGGAAAATAACACCATTGAATGATGTGTAACTTATAATGATCACTTAGCAACTAAAGCGCTTCCACCAGATCTAACTTACTAACAAAAGAAGAAATTATTCCATGATCTTAAACATTATTATTGGGATAAACCTCTGCTTTTCAAGAGAGGCGCCGATGGTATTTTTCATCGGTGTGTCCCCGAAGATGAAGTAGGAAGTATCATTTCTCATTTCCATTCTGCCCCATATGACGGACACGCGAGCACTTCAAAATATTGCACTAAGATCTTACAAGTTAGCCTCTTTTGGCCTAATCTATGGAAAGATGCCCATGTCGCAGTCACAAATTGTGATTGGTTCCAACGCACTGGCAACATTTCTAGACGCGGCGAGATGCCACAAAAAGGCATTTTAGAAGCAGAAGTCTTTGACGTGTGGGGAATAGATTTCATGGGACCATTCCCATCTTCTTTTAGTAACCGATACATACTCGTTGTTGTTGATTATGTATCGAAATGGATTGAAGCTATTGGTTCTCCAACAAATGACACGCGAGTAGTAATCAAGCTCTTCAAAAATATATTTTTTCCTAGATTCGGTGTGTTGAGACTTGTCATCAGTGATTGTGGCTCCCATTTCATTTCAAAGATCTTTGAAAACCTATTACTGAAATATGGAGTCTGACACCGTATAGCAACACCCAATCACCCAAAGACAAGTGGGAAAGTAGAGGTCTCAAATAGAGAAATTAAGCAAATTATAGAAAAAATTGTTGCCGCCTCTAGAAAAGATTGGTCTTCAAAGTTACACGAAACTCTGTGGGCATATAGGACAGCCTGTAAGACCCTAATAGGAACCACACCATTTAAGCTAGTTTATGGTAAATCATGTCATCTGCCGGTAGAATTAGAGCATAAAGCTTATTGGTTTATTAAAACCCTTAATTTAAATTATATTGTCGCATGCGAGAAGATAATTTTAGAAATTCATGAACTATAAGAACTTAGATTAGACGCATACGAGAATGCCTGTATCTATAAAGAAAGAACTAAAAAATGGCACGACAAGCGTATATCAAGGAAAGAGTTTAATGAGGGTGGCATAGTACTTCTTTTTAATTCTCGACTTAAAATTTTCCCTGGTAAACTTCGTTCTAGGTGGTCTGGTCCCTTTGAAATTACCAAAGTTTTTCCAAACGACGCAATAGAAATAAATGGTAAATCTAGTGAACCATTTATCGTAAACGAATAGCACTTGAAACGTTATCATTGTGTTTATAACAGAGACTACCGTTGTAGTCTAAAGCTTACGGAGTTGTCTGGTAACTCCCAAAATTAATTTTTTAGTTCAGTCGAGCTTACGACATAAAACAAAGCGCTTGGTGGGAGAAACCCCGCATTTTTAACTTTAATTTTAATTTTCTTTTGTCATTTCTTATTGTTTTCCTTTTTCTTTTTCTTTTATCTACGGTATTATTCTTTAGAATTTGTCCCTACTGACTTAATATCATCGTCTACGAACTTTCATGCTAACTTAACTTTAGCTAACTACTAACTCTCACGATGCAACAAGTGGACTATATAGATATCATTTTCAGAGGCATAGCTCAGAGGCGGCGATTTGAAGTTTTATCTGAAAGAGAGATGACACTAACCATCTAGCCCGATAGCCACTCCATGACCTCGTTAGGCATTAGAGATAGTGTCATGTTTCTACTTGACCAAATAGGGTGGAGAAATTTCATGGTAGGGAAAAGATTTAGTTCTTACCGTAGACTAACCCTTGAATTCCTAAGTTCGCTTACTTTCATGTCTGACCATGGATTAGGATTTAACTAAGGCCTGATTATTTTTAGAATGTTTGGTATTGATTTATGTTATAATAGCATAGAGTTTGCTAGCCTTTGAGGAGTTCCTGGTGGCCCACATGTCTTTTCTAGTACCCAAGAAGACGGTCTTTTGGACCTTGAACTTGGATATTTTTGGGATAGCATAACTGGAGATAATAACCTCGAGCCTAATAACATGTTTTCTGAGAATATCCACAACCCTGTTATCTGTTATTTCCATAAGATCCTTTTTCACACCCTCAGAAAATAACAAAACATAACCTCTGTGTCCAAAGATGAACTCTTCATCATGTATTGTGCTTCCCAAAACTGCCTCGTTAATGTTGCTACTTTTATGTTAGCCGATTTTACTCGTCTTGCACAAGCTGACCATGAACCAATCTTAATAGGAGGCTTAGTGGTCATGATTGCAAATGCTATTGGGTTGAGACAACCACTTGTCAGCCTTGACCCTCTAGGAGGAATACGTTCCATGAACATCCATTTCTGTTTCAATACCAGCTTCATTAGAAACCTAGGCCCGAATTAGTTTGAACTTCTTATCAATAATCAAGTTTTGTACCTTTTTACCTTGTCAAATCCCAGGACTAGCGTACATGACATAAATAACTGTCTGTTTGAATTAGATGAACCCCGAAATGACCCACCAACTCCTCCTGAGACACTTCAAGTCTATAACCATTTTGATATCTCTGAAGCTGAAACCGATCCTGCAACCATATTGTATTTCCGCTAAAAACTCAATTTATTGTATTTCCATTAAAAAAACTCAATTTGTTGTATTTCCACAAAGATACTTGATTTATTGTATTTCTGTAAAAAAAATCGATTTACTGTATTTCCGTTAAAAACTTGATTTTTTATAGTTCTGGAAAAACTTGATTTACTGTATTTCTGCAAAGAAAACTCAATTTACTGTATTTCCGCAAAAAACTAAATTTACTATATTTTATTTAAAAACTCAATTTATTATATTTTCGTAAAACCTCGATTTACTGTATTTCCGTATAAAAACTCGATTTTTTGTATTTTTCGCAATAACTCAATTTTCTGTATTTCTTTTAAAAAAACTTGATTTACTGTATTTTCGCTAAAAAATTGATTTACTGTATTTCTGCCAGAAACTCGATTATTGTATTTCCATAAAAAAAATATTGATTTACTGTATTTCCATAAAAAACTCGATTTTCTTTATTTTTGGCAAAAACTCGATTTATTGTATTTCTACAAAAAACTTAATTTACTGTATTTTATTAAAAATACTCGATTTACTATATTTCTGTAAAAAACGCGATTTTTTATATTTCCCTAAAAAAATATCGATTTACTGTATTTCTGTAAAAAAGACTTGATTTACTATATTTTCGCCAAAACTTCATTTACTGTATTTTCAACAAAAACTTGATTTACTGTATTTTCAGAAAAACTTGATTTACTGTATTTCCACAAAAAACTTGATTCACTGTATTTCTATAATAAAAATTCGATTTACTGTATTTCTGCAAAAAAACTCGATTTATTATATTTCTGTAAAAAAAACTTGATTTTATATATTTTTGCAAAAACTCGATTTATTGTATTTCCGCAAAAACTCGATTTACTGCATTTCTATAAATAAAAACTCGATTTACTGTATTTCTACAAAAAAACTTGATTAATTGTATTTCTGCAAAAAAAATTGATTTACTGTATTTCTGTAAAAACTTGATTTTCTTTATTTCCGACAAAAACTCGATTTACTATATTTCTGCAAAAAAAAACTGAATTTACTGTATTTCCACAAAAAAATTAATTTACTGTATTTTATTAAAAAAAACTCAATTTATTATATTTTCGTTAAAAAAAACTCGATTTGCTGTATTTTTGCAAAAAACTTGATTTACTGTATTTTCATAAAAATATTATTTGTTATTATTAATTTTTTTTAAATGATTTAATGCATTTTAAGTATATGATCAAAATAATTCATTGATCATTCAAATATGCGGATGGATTGGATCAATCCATATATATAAATGGATGAATTTTATCTAATCCATTAAACTTTTTTTTTTTTTATGTAATGGATGAATTGGATGAATTTTTTTATAGATAAATTAGATTAATTTTATTTTAATAGATTTAATTGCCATCTCTACTTTTAATATATCTTAGTGGCTTCCCATAAACTCATATCAAAAGGAACTGTCAACCTTCATGTCTCATGTCTCACTTTTCTTCTTGGTAATACCTTCATCTTACCATCTTTCAAATAAATACTCAATTTTCTCATCCACATTCACTACTTCTCTTCATTTATAATCTTAACAAATTGAAGCAAAAGAATCTGAATTGATGAATCATTTGATGCACATACAAGTTGCTATAATAGCAGCTATATTTGGATGTGTTTCAACCATTTTACTCATTTTCATTTGGAGGCTATGTCATCACAAGAAAGATCAAAACCAATCTGTTGAATCAAATGGTTTCAACAAAACAAAGAGCCATCATGAAGGAAGCAAACATTTGTTCAGCTGGTTTGATCATCCATATCTAGCTTCTGATGCTCTTGAAAATGGATGGTCAAGATTTGCTTTTACTAGTTACAAAAGTGATTATATGTCATCAAAAAAATCAACTTCTTCAACCCTTTTAGGAGCTTGTGGAAGAGAAGAAAATGAGGTTGAGATAAGTTGGGAAGTTTGTCAAGGTTCAAATGAATTCATGCAAAAGATTAGACTTAATTCTCGTTTGAAAAAGTGCTTTTTTCATTCTGTTGTTAGGACTTGTTTGCCTCTTCCTGGTCCTAGTTTAGGGAACCATGTGTTTCCACAAGAAGCTTATTTTGAAATTACTATATTGTATTCTTGTGGTGGAGATGATTGTGAAATGGTTGGAAGAAGAGAAGGAGAGAAGACAAAATTGCTTATTGAAGATGGTTTGAATGATGGAGGTGATTTGAAAAGTGTTGAAGAAATGAAAGTTGAAGAAAAAGATGGATCTGTTTTGGTGTCATTAGGGTTGAGTTCTGGTGGAGGTGTTCCTTTCAGAGTTCCAGGAAGTTATCCTAGAAGCATAGGGTTCAACTCCAATGGTTCTGTTTTTCTTGATGGTAATAATAAATTATCTACCCTTTACCTTTTGTATTTTCATTTTATTTACATTTGAGCAAATTGTATTTCTCAAGATCAAAATTGAATATAATCACATGTGTCAGCGTCAGATACTAACATAACATCGGATATCAAAATTGTGACAGGAATGAAACTTGTATATGAGTCAGACAAAGCACAATGGATAGGAACTGACACAGTAATTGGCTGTGGATTCGATCCAAGAAAAAAGAAAGTTTTCTTCACATTAGACTCAGAATTGGTGCATGTAATTCACTGCCAATCAGAGGAATTCAGCACACCACTCTGTCCAACAATTGCTGCAAATATAGACATTATGGTTTTAGTTAATTTTGGACAAGTTGCATTCAAATACGCGCCTGCAAATGCGCAAAGAACACCAAATCCGTGTTTCATAGCACCACTTGTACATTCCCCTGGTGCTACGCTTGGATTTGATGACAGTAAGGAACTATTCTCCATGGGAAGAATTGATTCGCCGTGGCAAAATCAATCCGCGGCGAAATGGAATAATAACAGTGGGAAGAATAATGTAGCATTTGATTTTGATGACGAGTTTGAAGCTGATTTGTTTGAAATTGTGTTGGATGGTTCAGAAAAATCACCATATTCACTGTCCTTGTGATAGGTTACAGCCAAAATGATGTGTACATTTTGTTTTGTTTCAATAATTAAGTGCATTTGTTTTCACAGTACTTAATCACTTATTTATTCGATAGCTGTATTTCACCAAAATTTGTAAAAATAAAAATTGGCTAATGAATCGTTTCTCTGAACTGCGAAATCAAATTAGTCAATTTAATATGTGAATTAGAATTTATTGGTTAAGTAAATAAAAAAACAGTCGGTGACCTGGTGTGTGTACCTGCATACTAAACGAATTATTCTCATTTTTAAGGTTCATGCATCTAATTAAAATAATCTTCATAATCTTAACTAACAGAGTTTTAATATTCTATACAATAACATTGGTTTCAATGCACCTTTCAACAAACTCCAATTGTAAAAGAGAGAGAGAGATGTTACGTGTTGCATTTTATTATTATTCTTAAACTTCACTTTCGAAAAACTCCAATTGTGAAAGACAAAGCAAAATGTAATGCGTTGCATTTTATTGTATCAAAATAATAAAATAAAGTCACACAATCATCGTGAGCTTCATAAGTATGATTTTCTAGGGAACACATTGCAGCACTAAACAAGTGAATCCTCAGCAAGTGATATAGAAAAGAAAAATAAGGCCTGATACTAAGCCAAAATTTGAAACAATCTAATGCTCACGTTGAAATGATTTAACATGTTAAGTTACTGTTAAAAAAAAAGATATGTTAAGTTTCCAAATTAACTTAATGTATTAATCTAATTAATCTTTCCGTGGCATTCTCTCATTTGTTCTTGCTTTCTCTACTACTTCGCTTTAGCTCTCACACTCTCTATGCGTTGTCTTTATGGGCATGTTATTGTCAATGGTCGTAATGTTGTCTTTGTTGTCATTTAGAGTAAATGTTTGGTTCCCCAGTGGAAAAAATTATTTTTGAGTAAATTGATATTAATTAAAATCAATTGAATGTGGATTAATCGTTAGTTAGTTTATAGTAATTGATTTTGAAGTATAATTTGATCCTCCGCAACTCCTAATGAAAAAAACTAGTAATAAACTTCAATGTAAAAATCACATTTAACTCAAAAACTACAAATTCTATTTTGAAGTATAATCAATTCTACCTTAAAAGAACCAAACACTACAAAATCATTCCAAAATCAATTTTCCATTTTAGAATTACTTTTTACTCTTCTAAAACTAAACAAACATACACAGAATGTGCTATAATGTGATTCTTGGATTACACAAAAAGTGCTATAATGTGATTCTTGAATTAAGATTGTCTTTAGATTGACGGTAGACATAATTGATTCTAGCATAATTGAGTTTGATAGAATTGATTTTAACAAAATTGAATTTATCACAATTGATTTATGTTTGGATACATTTATATAAAAGTGAGTTGAACAATAAATTTCAGAGTAAAAATCACCTAGAATCAATTCTAGAAGTAGAAGCTACAAATTCTAGATTCAAGTAGAATCAATTCTGGAGGCAAAATTCATTTTACTTTTGAAAAACCAAACACCTCAAAATCACTCAGAATTAATTCTACATATCTAGAATTGATTCTAGATCTTTCAAAAATGGAACCAAATATACACTAAGTGTGTGTTTGGATTGACGGTGAATAGAATTGATTATAGTGGAATTGAATTTGATAGAATTGATTTTATCATAATTGAATTTAGTAAAATTGATTTATGTTTGAATGTATTTATGTAAAAGTGAGTTAAACAATAAATTTCAGTGTAAAAATCACCTAAAATCAATTCTGGAGATAGAAGCTACAAATTTTAACTTCAAGTATAATCAATTCTACTTTTGCCTAACCAAACACTTAAAAATCATCCAAAATCAATTTTACATCTCTAAAATTGATTCTAAGTCTTATAGCAGTAGAACCAAACATTCACAAAGTTTATGTTCTTCGGTTCAACCAAACTCATTTTGTAATCAAACTTTGTCTCTCAATGATCACATTTATTGCAATTTTGGTCCTAACCCGTAATTTCCCTCCATAAATAGCATTTTTTTAAAGCATAAAAATGATTATTTTATCATGCACTAAAAGTTGCATATTCCCTTCAAATTTACAATTGATACACTAAATTACAACTTTTGCATCAACAGTCACCACTTTAGGGGTTAAAATATAGGTTGAACCAAAATTGCAACAAATGTGATAACTAAGGAATCAAAATATTCAATTTCAACATGAGGGGAACATGAGGGGATCATTTTTATCAATGTGATAAAATAGGATATCAAAATTACAATTAAATAAAAATAAGGGAAAGTTGACTTACATATCAGGGAAAAGTTAACTAGGTTTGCACACAATGCTTTAAACTTCAGCAATCTTGATGAACAATTAACTAATGAAATAATAATGTAACATTGAAATTGATATACAAGGAGCCAACAGGAAGAAAAAAATTAAGCCTAATGTAATTTATAAGCATTTCCAAATGATGATTAGAAACTTAAATTCTTATTCCACCGCTCAACACATATCAAAGAATAGCACACCCAAAAAAATCGTTACCCTAAGCTAGCCCAGAAAATATTACATAAATTAAAACTACAGAACTTCCTTTATCTGCTAGGATTTCAAAATTTCTCAGCTAAAAATGGAATAGAACTGACAATTTGGAACATGTAAAGAAAAGGAAGACAGGTGTACAGTACAACTTTCAATTACAATCACCGAGGACTAATGCCGCAACTCTTTCCAATGATTCAGATGCTTTGTGAAGATCAGACTCTTCATGCCCTGCAGAAACAAACAATCTAATTCCTACAGGCAATTTACACTTGTCCAATGTTGATCGTCTTGAAGCCGCCACAAATACAGAATCTTCTTTCAAAACCTGTGAATACTCGATATTAAGTACTGACAAAATTGAAAATAATGAACATTGTTCAATCAAAAAAGAACTGCATTTCTTACACGTTCGGCAATATTTTCAAGCAGATGTAGGTCATCTTCCAAAGAACCCGTTGACTTCTTTAATCTCAAATAAACAATTGGTGACTCTGGATGACTTGCAATTTTGAAGCTTGGTATTTTCGACAACCCTGCAGTAGCCAATGTATCTAAGAATCAAAGTTCTTAATTTATAAAAATCTTGCTTTATTTGCAGCATAAATAAACAGTAATTCAAACTGTTGTGCACATGCCAAATCATGGACACTACTGCAATACAGTTCCGTCTATGAAATCAGCAGTGAGATCAAACTGTTGTGCACATGCCAAATCATGGACACTACTGCAATACAGTTCCGCTTATGAAATCAGCAGTGAGATCAAAGCCTACCTTTCCATAACACAGCAATGTTCTTCTTCAATTTTGTTAACAGATTGGGATTTTCGTCAAGGACATCAATAGCTGTAATTGCAGCGCTTGCAAGATATGGAGGCAAAGAAGCAGAAAAGACATAGCCAGAGCTACTCAATCGCTGTCATTGTTGAAACATAGAGATATTAGAGCAGGGAAGTGGATGTGAAATAATAGCCATCATCAACCAATCACTTAGTGATGCACATAGCTCCATCATGCAAATTCAGGTATTCATAAGGAAAATTGGGAGGGGGAAAAAAAGAGAGAAAAAAGTCCCTTGAAAAATGCTCCCTCCCGACTTAAATATGCAAAAATAACTAACCATAAATTAAGAATATTAGTTAAACTTATAATATTTTTATGTAATAAAAAAAGGTAAATTCTTTGATACCCATGAGTTTTGGTTGGATATCAATTAGACACAATCTATTTAAATTTTAATTTATTTTTTAAAAAAAAATCATTAAAAAAAGTGATATGCATTGGACTATTGAATCTTGAGTACATATCCAACCAAATTCAAGCAGAGTGTTCACATGAAAAAAATTGCATTCTTCAAACTATAATTTCTTTGTTTAACTTCCTTTGAAACTTATTTCATGAGAGCATTAATTGAGCGGTATTTGTTTCATGAGAACATTAATTGAATCAACAACAACAATGACCTAGCCTTATCTCATTAAGTACGGTCGGCTACAAGTATTAGACAACGCCATAATGTTCTATCATATATCATGCTTCTTTTGAACTCATTAATCTCTAAATTTTTCTTCATAGTTTCTCTTATTGTTTTTCTAAGTCTTCCTATGCCTCGTGATTTCTGACAATTGCCCATCTATTCTAGCTTTCTTACCACAAAATCTATGGGTCTACTCTCTACCTACCCAAACCACATAACTCAAGTTTCCATCATCTTTTTCACGATAGGTGTTATCTCAATTCTCTCTCTAACGTTATGATTTATAAATGACTATCTTTATCACTTAAGTTTGAGTCTAGAGGAAATAAATTCTTAATTTCCCACATTCAGAACATTTCCTCTCTTCTTATGCTCAGTATCATAGATAACACTACCGTACTTGGTGATCTACAACTCTTGCACTTCCGGTGCAGAATCCTCCTTCTGTAGCCAATGCATGTCCCATAGCCGCAGTTATAAGATCTAATTTCTCAACCTGCAGCACACAACCAAAAATCATAAATAGCAGTACAATTTTGAATATATACCCGCGCCCAAACAGAAATTTTCAATACATACTGGTACTCCATAGTGTTCGGTGAGACCTCTTCCAGAACTTCCAAGTACACCAAACGAGTTGCTCTCATCCAATAAAATACGAAAACGATATTTTTCCTTCAATTTAATGATCTCATCTAAGGGTGCTATTTGGCCAGAATTCTGAAAATATTCAAGGAAACATATGTCAATAGTTATGGACAAGCAATTTTAGTTTGCATGGAGGTAAGGCATATGGGCATAAAAGGTGTTTAGTATGACAACAGAAAAAATAACTATTACAACTCAATGGTTGAGAAAACCAGGGCAAGTAACAATAGTCTTCTAAGGAACAACATTGTAATAGACACTAATCTAACAGTAGCACCAACAGGCTCAAAGTTTTATTTCAATCCTTCATATATATACATATTCAAATTTCAGTTGTTAAATACTGTACT